CACTCCTTCCCGACTCGACGCTCTTCCTCCCTGCCCACACCCCAAGGACACCCTGTGGGTGTCCTTCATCTCTTTCCACACCCACACCCACACCGTCCCGGGACTTCTGACGGGTACTGTATATCTAGCTACGTATGCTACTTTAAAGGAACTATGGACGGAGAAAAGGTGAAACCAGTGCCCAGCAGTTCGCAAAAGACATCGTCAGGTTCATACTTCTCTGCCACTAGCGCTGCATCTGTACACGACTCAAGCAATATAGAAAAATATCCGATCATACAAAATTTTCTTGTTGTCTGGCTCGATCAGAATATCGATGAATCGATGGAGGACTTTCGTCATTCGATCAGTAAACTTCGTTGTGTCGCCAAAACGATTAATATGTTCACAAATACTGATCAATGCGTTCAATATCTGAAGAAAGTCGACGTCGGCAGAGCTTTCTTGATCATTGCAGGTTCCTTAGGACAAAAAGTTGTACCTCAAATCCACAGTATGCTTCAATTGAATTCGATCTTTATCTTTTGTCGCAAGAGAGTCAGGCATGAGCAATGGGCGAAAGATTGGGCGAAAATACGTGGAGTTTACACGAAGATCAGTCCACTCTGTGAAGCTATGCAAGAAGCAGCCCAAATATGCGTCCACACCACCATCACGAATACTTTTGATGTTCCAAGTACACTGCAAGAGAAGTCTTCAAAAATCGACCTACCTGAATCAATGACTGGTATTAATAATAAGAGCAATAATCAAAATCGGCTGTTGAATTCTCGTCTGAGCGCAAGCTTGAATAATGAACAACTTCAGTGGACTCTATACGATTTAGATGCCTGCATCTTCGTTGGAACCAATCATTGCGAATTTTACTCAATTAGTAAGAATGCTATTCAGATGGCTCTAGATGCTATGAAAAAGGCCGATGATCTACGGAATCTGTCAGAACACGTTTGGAAATTATTGGAAACGGCTGGGCAGAAAGGCGATATTACCTATTTCGTGTATGCTTACACTCATGAGAGTGACTTTTATAAAATACTGAATCGCAAATTGGCTCAACAAAACCTAAAAGATTCTAGCAGCGTCAGCTTGGAAGACCAGCTTCAGCAAGTCATGAGCATTTTTTTTCAGAACTTAAAATTGGCTGTCAGTTCGGTGCAGGCAATGCAAGCAGGACAGCAAATGGCGGTTCAAGGTAGTGATGAGACAAACTGGGCCAAACTGTACTTAAGATCAGTTTATGCACTTCTTTTGACTCCGAACCCGACAATTCGATTTCAGGGCCGAACGTATCGTGGCATGTGGATTTCACGAGATGAATTACAACGCTATAGTGATGCACAGTTCGTATGCTACAAAGCGGTTGCTTCAACTTCGGCAGCTCGCAAAATCGCCCAGGGCTTTATTGATAATCAGCATTACTCTTCTGGAGACATGATATCTGCCATGTTTATATACGAAGTTAATTCGCTTACTTCGCTCTACGCACTTAAAATAAGCGAGTTTTCCAAATTCCCTCATGAAGAAGAAGTACTTCTATTGCCAGGAATTATCTATACCGTTGTTGACGTGCGTTCTATCGCCAAAAACTCGGTAGAAATCGAACTAAGCTCTTCAGTTAACGATCTTCAGGCTATGATGTCAAATGGCTTTGCCTCGCTTCTTGCTATTGATTCATAAAAATAATATGCATCATCAATTATGTATTCAAGTAAGAAGCAACTCCAGTGAACCGTATATTTCAAAAAATCATAAAGAATCATGGAGTAAAACTGTCAATCATTCATTTTGTCAGAGTCATAGAAAGAGTGTAGCTGTGAGTGTGGGTGTGGCTGTTGGTGGGTGTGGGTGTGCGTGGGGGTGGGGGTGCGGGTGTGGGATGCGGGCGTGAGTGTCGCTGTGACGTGGGTCTGAGTGTGGTGGACATGGGTATGGGTCTGGATCTGGGTCTTTTCTCTACTAATACACCTTCACAGATATGCACGGCCACATCCACACCCACCCTTCATTGGCCATAAACCGTACCAATCAGAAGCGAGCTTTTTCCCTCAACTGAAGGGAGGGTCATACGAAATAAAATGAGTTTGTGATCTGATAGTCATTGGAATAGTAATGCATTCAGATGTGTTAGCGTGATTACAGGTTCGATAATCTCAGTAACATCAAATATATATAAAGCTTTTTCAGGCAGCCAATTCAGCGAATCCAATATTTTCGGTGTTTGGCTATTAGTCTGTGAAGCTTGATTTATTTCATATCACCCTTCCTTCAGTCGAGGAAAAAGGATGTGGATGTGGGTATGGGTGTGGGTGTGTATGAAGAGAAGACAACACCCATACCCATACCCACACCCACACCCACACCCACACCCACACACCCACACCCACACCCACACCTACACCC